ACAATTAGGTTTATAAACTGATTTGAAGTTGTTTATTTGAGCGAATAAACCGTTTTCTAGTATGAAAACAAAACAGTCATAAGTGCACCTGCCAACAACAGCTGTGTGTTGCGTCTCTGCAAAACATGGTTCAATACTAGTAGCAAGAACTACAGAGTGTCACAACTTACATCGCAATCTGTGAGGTAATAAAGGGGGCAGTCCCCATTGGCAGCAGCTGCGTCGTCAATAGCCTGAAGCAGGACATTGTCTACATTCTCGTCTCTGTTGACGATTTCATTGATCATTTGCTGAAAAGCCTCCAAATCTTCCGTCTGATTCAGCAAAACAAACTCATCATACGGCAGTGCATCAGGAGAGACGTACTTGCACGCAAACTTCACGTCCAGTAGCGGAGTTGATTCAGCCTCAAACCTGAATGGCAATGGAACCTTGCCATCTTTCATTTCCCTCAATGTGGCAACTTTTTGACGGAGTGCAAACAGCTCATCGGCTTGCTGGGCTCTCTGATCAATCAAGGCCCTCAGACTGGCAGCATACGCCTGCCGTTCAGCCAGCTTTGCCTTCAACTGCTCAATTTGAGTCATTGAATTTTTTTCAATGATTTGATCCAAAATTTCATTTGTGAAGTCAATTATATAGCAGCTATATTTTGTCAAACTAAGATTTCATCCAAAGAACCAGTGCAAGTGGGTTTAAGTAAGTAATAAAAGGCTTCCTAATTTTTCATATTTTCAATACGTTCAACTCACTTCTTTAAATTAGAACACAAAAAAACAACATCCAACATCATTTGTGATTTTGGCCAACCCGAAGATAATTCCTAGCTTAGAAAAACGTAGCACTTGGATTATTTGTGAGTCAGCCAGGACACACAAGGACAATATTTGGGTGGGTTTATTCCTGCTGATTGAATATTTCAACCCGAATCTTATAAAAGGACTTTCCGTGATTCAAACATGGGGCATAATGCATTCAGGGCTAGCGCCTGGACTGCTTCTCTAAATACTTATTCATGCAAACTGGAATACAGTAATACATGATCCATGTGCTGGGGCGCCTTTGCTCACATGAGAAAGATGAATACATTTTGTAAATGACACTTTATTAATTTGTAATTAATTTCCCCTTCATGATTTCCTCCAATCAGAAATCAACACATCAAGTTGATGCACCGCATCAGTGGGCAAATGGGCCACAGGGTTCTTAGCCTCAACAGTTCTCACTGGGACCATGTAAAAGAGTAAGGATCGAGTCCTGCCAGGAACTTTAGAAATTCAAAATTTCATTTTATCGCCTAACACAATAAAAATAAAGAGTAGTTATTACATTTCTTACTACTTACTGTACTTGGCTTCTGGTGGTTTGGTGGTGTTTGTGTAACCTGCATTTGTAACACATTTTTGGATGTATATCAAAGTCAGTTTAGTACTCAAATATTAATAGTTGGTGTAAAAGTTCTGTTTTTGTATCATCAAATGATTGCAATTAGTGGGTGGTTTATGATTTTTTTGATTAATAGATTAATAAAAAGAGAACTTTTCATTTTTAGTTGAAAAATTTTTCATGTAAAATTTTTCATGTGCATTAATGTGTTCCGGATTAAGAGACTAATTTGGTGATTTTCTGGGCTTAAAATTTTCTCATTGCTTGATTTATAAGCACTTGGATGGTCAGTGCTTTCAATTAATTGGCACTTAAAGTGTCAGCGTTTAATTATTCAGCACTGAAATATTCAGCGCTTAAACATTCTGCGCTTAAAGTGTCAGCGCTCAATTATTCAGCGCTGAAATATTCAGCGCTTAAAGTGTCAGCGCTTAAATATTCAGCGCTGAAATATTCAGCGCTTAAAGTGTCAGCGCTTAAATATTCAGCGCTGAAATATTCAGCGCTTAAAGTGTCAGAGCTTAAATATTCAGCGCTGAAAGTGTCAGCGCTTAAATATTCAGCGCTGAAATATTCAGCGCTTAAAGTGTCAGCGCTTAAATATTCAGCGCTGAAATATTCAGCGCTTAAAGTGTCAGCGCTTAAATATTCAGCGCTGAAAGTGTCAGCGCTTAAATATTTTTTTAAGTGAAGTTATACTCCGTGGCGCCATATTAATTTGTTGAGCCACTTCCAGTATAGCCCGCTAGTTTAGCTGTAACAATCTCTGCTCGCAAGAGGAGGTCCGGGGATCAAACCCCGGAGTAGGATTTTGTAAAATGAAAATTTTCATGAAACCCTAAGTCTAATCCTGAGCTAATGAGTATAAAACCTAACCCTAACCCTGACCCTAAGGCGGAAACCACCAACCGGAGAGGTAGAGGGAGATATCCAGCCTCTAGCCAAGGCATTAGTAAGATATTCCTGGAGAACTTTTTCTTCGGCTGGGCTCAGTGGATAAATTTTCCCAGCCGGCGGTAATTTTGCCGAAGTTCCATCTTCATTCTTAACGATCTCGATAGGCAAGTCGTAAGGGCGATGAGGTGGAAGCGGCCGAGGAGTCTCAGACTTTGGTGCAAACACGTCCGAGTACTGCTTGTAGCGTAAAGGCACTCCTCTATTGTCAGAATCGATAGCAGACTTCTGATAGTCCTTTGTATTAATCACAGCTGAAATTGACACAGTGGGAGAGTCATCATCTTTAGAAGAAGTGACATCCATTCGAGCGGCAAAGATAGTAAGCCCGTGTTTCTTGGCAATGCCAAAAAACGCAGTGGTATTAAGCAACTCAACGTCCGGTGTAGAACTCGCTGGCGGATTTTCCGTCGGGATTGAAACAGAAGCGGTAGCAACCTCCAGATCCTTGACAGCTGGATTGTCTGGAGGAGAATAAGGCAAGGTGGTAAAAGCCTCAGGGGGCACGTGGTCAGCTGACAGGCAAGCCCCATCGGAGAATGTGACCAACATGTGACGCCAATTAACACGAGGGTTATGAAGGCGAAGCCATGGAAGACCTAAAATAAGCGGGCATGAAATATCCGCGACAAGAAGAGACATCGTTTCGGTATGAGAACCAATTCGACAAGTTAAAGGTACTGTTTGTTTAGTAATGGAGCGGGAACGCGAACCATCTGCTAAATTAACATTGTACAAGGTGGAGGAAGGAATAACAGGTATTTTATTTCTTAGAGCGAAATCTAAGGAAATAAGGCCGAAAGCCGAACACCCACTATCCACGAAGGCACCCAAAGAAAAGGGCTTGGTAAGGTTTGGAGATGAAAAAGAAGAAAATTTTTCCCCGACAACAAGTGTACATGGAAGCACAATCTTGGAATCCGATGATGAGGGAACGGAAAGGTTGACAGTTTGCATCGCCAAACTGGGCGGGGAATTTACGCCTGAGCACCCCTTCCCTGGGCGCTCCGAGCATTTTTTGCAACCAAGAGAGGGCAAGCCTTGGTGTCAGAAGCACCCTTGCAACCATCTTGACCACAGTAAGCGCAAAGACCTTTATCCTTGCGGCGTTGACGTTCCTCGTGAGTAGGCTTGCCAGACTTGACATCAGCAGCGGCAACATCAGCAGACCCAGAGGGCTTGGAAGCGGCGCCTGGGTTATTGGAACGGGAGCTGGAACCAGAACCTTGGTTACCCTTGGAGGATCCAGAACGTTTGTTGTTAGCAAACACGCGCTCATCGAAGACAATGGCCTTGCGCATGAGCATGGAGAGGTTGGTTGGTTGGGGTTCCAGACCATCAATATAGTTCATCACGTGAAGCTTGAGACCTTGCTTGAACATCAACATCTTGGTGTAATCGTTGTGTTGAGTACCGGCAATCCAACGGAGAAAATCACGGGCGTAGGCTTGACAGGAAGCAGTTTGGGTCAAGGTCTTGGCTTTGTCATTGGCAATTGCTTCAGCGACACGTGGATCTTCGCCGAAGAAGGCGGCAAAGACATCAGCAAATTCCTGAAAGCTCTTGAACTGGAGCTCAGGCTTGGCAACGTGGTTAATGTACCACTTGGCAGCATTACCACCAAGGTAGGAAACCACAAAAGCAATCTTGGACTTGGTGGAAAGGATACCCTTGGGTCCAGAGTTGTCAAAATTGAGGTAGACTTTGAGCATAAAATCGTCAAAGTCATCGGTTGCGAGGCCCTTGAAAACAGGTGGCTTGGCAACACGAAGAGAAATTTTATCAGACTTAGAGGATTCGAACCGGGAACCCGAACCAGACTGATCATCAGAGTCCGAAGCACTGCCAACTGGGCTAACTGAACGTTGACGATGAACTTTGCGATCGGCTTTTAATGACGCAGCAAATGCTTCAATGACTTTATCAAGACGGCTAGATTGATTGCGGACAAGACGAGAAAGAGCCAAAAGATCCGTTCGGAAGGCATCCATGGATGTGGCAACATCAAATTCATTATCCGTGTTGGCTTCCATGTAACGACTGGCCTCGTCAATTCCATCCAGAACATTGTTGGTTTGTTGTTCAGACCCATCATCTTCATCGAAGTCATTCTTGAGAGAGACAAGGTTGGGAGCAACGGAGCGACGAGCAAGCAAAGATTGGTCAGCGGCGGGGTTTGAAGGACCAGCGGCCGAAGAGGTAGCGGCAAAACCGACAGATTTCCGAGGAGCGGTGGCAGGAGGAGTATCAGCCATTATTGTATTTTAGTTTCAATACTATGTTAGAACCAGATAGTCAATAAAAGACTTAAGGGTTCTTGAAGGCACGAGGGCTTAGGGGGCACGAGGGCTTGTCCAATAACGGCTTGAGGTCACGAGAGACGGGATCGAAGAGTTACAAAACTGAAGACTAACACAGAATGTATTGAAACTGAACTAAAACTCAGAGCAGAAAGCTTGCTATTTATGCAAGTTCTGGAATTTCAAATAACAAAAGTTCAAAACTGAAAACAAACTGAAAATCAAACAGAAATTGTGATAGCAAGAGTGATAGCACAATAATATGTGAAATCAAGAATGATATCATAAAATGAAACTGAAAAACTTAGTAAAGTGACAAATCAAAGATGACAAATACAAAAATAGAAACTTAAAGGAAAATGTTACTAGCGGGAATCGAACCCGGGTTTCCACCGTGAGAGTCGCGCACAATGACCACTAAGCTACGGAACTATAGAGAAATATCCCTATAAGACGGGTGATTCGTAACAACTATATCCCACCAGTCGCATACAATCAAACTCCTCCAGTGTTGGCGTCATCCGCTGTCCTGATTAGTGTTCCGCGGATCGTGATTGAGTCGCCGCCGTTGACTTTGGCGGAACAAGCCTTGACATATTCACCACTGAGTGATCCTTTTTTTCCAACCCAAAAAATGTTTTCCAACCCACCAACATTTTCACCAAAACCAACAGCACCGCCCAACCGCTTGCGCCACACCATTGAAACTTTGCAGAAATAAAGAAAAACATATTACTAACGAATATCCAGAGCGGTTCTTTATTTATATAAACCCGAAACGAAATAATTCCAACTCTTCAATTCTCCTTGTCACACTCATTAACATGGGCGTCACTGATGCTTTTGCACTGAACCTTGCATCTCTCACAGAGTCTGAACTCATCGCAATTCGTACAAATAAACCATTTTGAGCTTCTCACCCAAGTTTTTGTACATTTGACAGAGTTAGTTTCCCCTTGACACTGACGCGCCAATTTCAGAGCCTCCCTCTCCGCTTTTTTGGCTTCCGCCTCACGTTTCTTGTTATTTTTTGCAGCTTCTTTTGCTTGAGCATCGTCATTTTTCTGTTGCTCAGCTGCAAGTAACGTTTCTCGCAAGGTTTGTGAGTTGTAGACCTTGTTGGTTAAAACAGCATCTTGAGGCTTGACTTTGGCTTTTTTGACCACAGGAGCAGGAAGTTCAGCTAAAAACCAGTCCCGAAGCTGAGTTTGGGTGTCTGATGTTGCTGTTTGGGCATCCGTAATTGAGGCAACATTTTTGGCGGCATTTTTCAGGATGATTTCTGGATTCCAGGGATAAATGCCCGTATTCTTGAAGGAGGCTTGAATATGGACCTTGGTTATCTTGTTCCGGATATAAAGAATGATTGGTATAAGGATTTCCCCAATCTGGCCTATGGCAGTTTGGGAAAAGGCCCGCACGCGATGGAACTCAGAGACCAGGTTCTTTTTCAAATTCGCAAAAAACAGATCATCCAGAGGCTGCAAGAAGTGAGTGACATTGGCAGGAAAATAATAACCCTGTATTCCAGCAGCGTGCATGGCTTCCAGTGTTGCCGGAGTCTTGTGGGTCCCAAGATTATCATGAAGAAGCACTGGGGTCAAACCCGGGTACAATTTCGAAAATTCCTCCTTAAAGACAGCCAAAACAGGCACCCACTGCTCTTCGGATATGTAACCAGTTTTACTGTAGACAAAGTACATTGGAGTGGTATCTTGGCTCCGTAGTCGCGCAGGTTCAGTTGTCAGTTCAAGGTTTCCATATTTGGTCGGAATGACCAAAATGTCAACCACCCAAACACCAGAGGCTGTAACAAAGGGAATATAGCTGGCCATAGGACCACGTTCACCTTGGTGGACATTTGGGCGGTTAATGGACGTGCTCACAAGAAAGGAACCCTGGGAGCTTTCGTTTTCGAGTTTGATGCGCATTTCATCAACATTGATAAGATTTCCCATGCTGTAGCCATTCTCGTCCATCCAATCCTTAAACAGTTTTACCCAAACTTTCACCTCAATTTCTGTAGCTGGTTTGATGCGAGAGGATGTTAGAGCTTTGACGGCTCGTTGGGTAATTCGCTTTTGGTGGCGGCCCAAGAAACCATTTAGCCATCCGTTTGGATTCCAATCTCCTGGTCCGCGGATTTCAAGGTACTTTTGACGTACTAATTGCAAGAAATCTACTTGGCGCAATGGACTGTGGGACAAGGATCGGGCCTCCAAAAAGGCGACAAACACAAGCTCATCATGGTCTGAGAACAATTGCTTGCCGTGGACTCGATCAGGATGCTTGTCGATTCGCCGATAGATTCCGCGTGCAGCCTCGGCGGTAATACCATGGTTGGTAGCGACTTGCTCGGCAGCTTGGCGTTGGGGTATTGACTGATTCATCAAGGCACTGATTTCTTGAAAAACTTGGGAGGCGGTGTCTTGGTCATGACGAGAGCTACTTGATTTCGATCGCTTTCTTCTCATTATTTGTTAGCTATGATGATTTTATTGTGGTGCTAACAGTTGCATTTTTATGGGCATTTTTTTAGGTGGTGACGTGGGTTGGAAATCATTTTTTTGGGTTGGAAAAAAAGGATCACTCACTGGAACAACGTGGATTCTTCAGCGCGCCTCCTAGCCCAAGTTCAAGACCCGCTTCACCAATGATTCATATTTCCCAGTCACGGCCATCTTCCCCAATGATCCCGCTCTCAATGAATGATGATGATCAGCAACAACAACCGCTTCCTTCTCTCGCTTCTGTAGTGCCCCCTACATTACGGCCTCATTTAGACAGCCAACGCTGGACAAAACAATGGCTTGCACAGCAGAATTACAATGTCTCTCAACCCCCACAGTTTCAGCAACTCCAAACTCAACTGTCGCCCCATTCTCTGCAGCCCCTTATTAGATCGCCCTATGAAAGTTCATCATCTGGGACTGTTGATTTGCGGCGAGCTAATGTAAGCTTTATGTGGTTAAATGTTTGTCAGGAGACAAGTTGTTGTCTTTTTCCCTGCCACAGACTCCGCTTTTATAGCGTTTTACTGTTGCTTTAGTCTTTTACATGGTCCCATTGAGACCTGTTGAGGTTGAAAACCTCGTATCCCATTTGCCCATTGAGGCGGTGCATCAACTTGACATGGCTATTTCCAATTGGGGGAAATTGGTGAAGGGGAAATTTATCGCCGTCTGACGGCGTTAATACTCAATAATAAAGGTTACATTTACAAAATGTCTTCATCTTTCTACATGTGAGCAGCTGATAAAACCACATGCCGCCAAGGTCCAAAAGCATAACCCATCTCTGGTTAAGGCGTCCCTTAATCTCGGCAGCGCACGGCCAATGTATTATGGTGTTTTGGTTTGGAAAGCATGCAGGAAAGATGGACTTGGTGCAGTGGTCAAGGCGCTGGCTTTGAGAGCGTGATGCCCCAGGTTCGAATCACGGAAACCTGTTTTATTCTAACAATAAAGATTCATGTTGAATTATTCAATCCGTACAACTTAAAGTTTATTTCTAATCTCTGTTAAGTAGTGCAAGTGTTATTGTATCTTTATGCGTAATACTCAACAGGGACAACACCGAACAACCAATATCTCCAACCTGCACAACATTCTTATAAACGGAAGAGCTCGGTTTCCTTGGAACCGCACTGAAATGAGGCCACCCACATCGATAGTAAGAGAATAATCCTGAATATTGATTGGGTTTCCGTCGAGATTCGTGGTCCAAGTAGGTGAACTGGCATCTCCAGGCAGACCCTTGTATATCACCAAGTTGGCGTCAGCTAGCTTTCAACCGCCCCCATTGCTGAATACACGTATCATTACAAAACCAAGGAATTTCTTGTGGTTGAAGGAATCATTGAAGAGCCAATTCCCCCACCCAAAGAGGAAACTCTCGAACCAAAAGCGAAGACTAACCCGCCGCCATCGAAAGTCAAACAGGAAATCGATTCAGATTCTTCAGCAATAAAGGTTGAAGGAAGTGGAAGTGAGAAAAAGAGAACTGCGTCAGCAACAACGATGGAGAATGATGATGACGTCCAAATCATCGGAGTAATTCAAAAGAGAACCAAGAGGTCAAACAGCGTGATTGATTTGACAGGAGACGATTGAAGTCTTAAGTTTGCTTTGACCTTTGAAGGGTGGCAAGTTGAGAATAAGTTATAAATGACACATAGTATTGTCCAGCTTCATTCGCAACCGGCATATACCACAACTTTCTTGTCTTCATTTTATTTTCTTTCCTGCATTCAGTTCGATAACTATCTTAAAATGATACAGAAAGTTATTCTTTAATTTATTGAGATGCAATTCTAACTTTTCTAAAGAACGAAAAGAAGTCCGCAAAGTATGCTCAAAATAGTTGAAAAGCATGAAACGGTAAAGGAATTGTTGGCTTGTCTTGCCCTTGCCAAAATCTCGTCTGATAAGACCGTTCCATTCCCAGTCTCCAACCCATTTGTAGAGCGTGCAAACCCTACTTGCTTGTTTTTGACGTCAAAAACTGTGTAATACTTGAATAAGACAGGTGTTCCTAAATTGTACAAATTGGATTACTTAATTTGGATTGTCGTATCATATTTCTTTAGCAGCTTACCCAAAATCCAGTTCCCAGCACCAGGTCGGATTGCTAATTCACACAGCGTAGATGATTCGAAATTGGATCCATCAAATGTAATGTAATCCGCTGCAGAAAAAGAAAGCGTGATGTTCTTTCCAATGCTAATCGAAATATCAGGAAGTGTTGCCGCAATTCTACAGGCAACCTCGTAAACACCCCAATCCGGTCGGAACACAATATCGCCCGGCCCAACGCCCTTCGATAAAACTTCAACAATCTTTCCTAATGTGACAGGGTCTATAAGATTGATACTGGATCCGGAATCAATAATTGCGTAGGTCACATTGCTTGGAACAGCAAAAGTTGCACCTGCAACTCCTTTTACTGACGCGCTTTTTACGGGTACAGTCCAAAAGTAGTCCCCTGAATCACCATTTCCCGTCGATGATGCAAATTGAAAACCACCAAAGTATAGCAACGGATCTGCACCACCAACCACAAAACGACCTCCCAAAGGCTCAATTTCGTTATCTTCATACGAAATTGACTGATTTAACCAAATGGAGAATATTCCATGAGGAACTTGGTTTCCATTCGAAAGGGCATACAGGACAGACGTTTTGGTTCCAACACCCGCTTCCATAGCAAGCCCCAATAGCCCATCCCCAAAGCGATTCATATGATACATCATACTCGATTCTTGGATATCAACAACATAAAACGGGAGTTTCGCAAGCTTCGATGACCCCCAAGAGAATGCGTCAGTAACTTGATATCCAGAAACGGTTCCGGATCCATATTCAAATGACGATCGAATTGTTGAAGAGTTTGTGAATGTAGAGGACGCCTCTGGATCAAAGAAATGGCCTGT